CAACATCATGCCTCTCGTGGCATGGCTACAAAGGAGACGATCTACCTAGCCCTTCGTCGTCCCGGCGAGGACGAGGAGATTTGGGAGGTTTCATCACTGATGGCGTTTATAGGAGAGGCTGAAAAATAGGTTTTAAACTGCAGATCAGTGGCCAATTGATCATGTGGGATCATATCCTGCGAGGAGCAATTCTGCTGGCTGACAGAGGACGGTGTGAGTCAAATCTAGAACTATAGACCAGCAGTTGATATTCTACGTTTTCTACGGTGTGAGTCGAATCGCCGAATCTGCAACGCATGTTTTGCAAGAATCGTTGCCGTCCCTCTCGCGGCACGGCCACATAGGAGACGATCCACCCAGCCCTATGTCGTCCCGGGGAGGACGAAGAGATTGGCAGGGAGGTTTCAAAGAAACTGAAAATGTAGTGAAAAAGGTGGACAAAGTAAGAAGCGGAGACATCCCAAACCTGTCTTGAGAGCTTTGCGTCTTGCGGGGTATTGCATGCCATCATGAGAGTTTAGTTTATGACATGATTTGTTTGCAATCAGACGTGGATTCCTCGCTCCTCATATGGGCTTGCAGGAAACGCACCGTTGGACGAATGTCGTTGGTGCGGAGATCCAACACAATATCCTGGGGCACAAAAACCCAAGAGTCCAAGATATTGCAAAATATAGAGGAGGGGTATTTTTTTTTCTGGTGGCTTTTGGCGGCTTTTTTGGCTTTTTCTGCTTTTGCTTCTTTGTTGGCTCTTGGTGGCTTCTTTGTTTGTTGGCTTTTGGTGGCTTCTGTTGGCTTTTGGCTTCCCTTGCTTCTACGGCTGTCGTGCTGGAGCTTACAAAGCTGTGCTGCTCACAGTGGCCAGGGTTGCGCATGCCCTGTGTGGCAAAGGAATTTGGAAAAGGAAACAATATCAACAAAACAATGGAACACAACCAAAACACAATAAAAACATTTAAAACAAGCGCAAAACAAAAACATAAAAAATACAAAAAAACTCCGCAGCCAAATATACATGTTACAAGAACGGATTGGAGAATCCATTGGAGAGTCTTTTGGACGCGCGGGGCCGGGCCTGCGCAAGAGGGGCCGTTCATAAACAGTGAAGGGGTTAAGCACTCGGACTCAGGCCCTCGCCCTCCTGGTCCTGGAATCTCTCTCAAAAGTAGATCACTCTGCCTACACGGCCTCACACAAGAAGGAACGTAGTTTGTCAGTTTCTTTTCAGCAAATGACCAACGGATGTGTTCAATCTCCAGATTGTGTTGTGAATCCAATCTCCTCTGTGTGAGGATGAAGGGCTGGGAGTTCCAGCTTCATCTCCTCCGCAGGTAGCAGGTTAAGCACATGAGCGTCAGAGTGTCAGCGTTGCTATTTGCCCTTCCAACTCAGCGTACTAATCCACCGATCAGTGCCTCTCCCTTCCTCCAGATCATTCATCGTGGGATGTTGTTCAACGTGTCGAGTGGGCTTTGGCTTTGCCATGCGTTGCCCAAGCTACGATGACTTGGATCGCAAGCTGGGCATCGGTGGATTCTTTCTGCCTGACACGATCATCGCCCAAAGACACGGGTGACGGGTGTGTTTTGAACAGTGTTCGGCTTCATATGTTTTCATTTCATTTGAGAGGAATAGAGGAACAAGATGGAACAAGAGGACATGATCCACTCCATGCTCCAGACTTGCCAAACAGTCAAAACAGGCCCAGATTTCGCTGCACGGTCAGGAGACGACCTTGGAGGTTCCCCGTCCCCGCCATCCTCTCGCCGAGGCTGAGGGGTGTCTTAAGAGACATGCCTTGAGCACTGTTTATTACTTACTTTATTGTTATTTTTTTGGGGGGGAAGGTAGGCCGCTAGAGGTAGCTATATAGTAGCTAGGGAGTCGCTAGTAGAATCTATATAGGTAGCTACTACCGACAGGACGCAGGATAGCTCACGCACTAGTCATTTGGTTACTAGATGTTTAGGGAAACTTAACTAAACTAAGGAAATCATTCCAAGTGCAAGACATCTACTGTAAATGACAGCACCCACCAGAGGTCGACTGAACGTCAATGACACATCCCATGGAATACGGTCCATCCTCCGGATGAGGCCGCACACGGCAGAACTGCCCCTTCTGAGCAATCTAAGAGGCTGAAACAGGATGGAATAGACTCCAACAGCTGCAACGTTTTAATCGCAGGCGTTCGCCTTCTAGACCCAACTACCCTCCTCCAAAAGCCAGCCATGTGTGGTACAGTCGTTGGCACCTTCGCTCGGATCAGGTGTGACCTTCGAAGACCTTTTGTCAGGAGCCGCCATTGTGAATGCTACAAGATCCAATCCCTTTTGAGTTGCAAACCCCAGGCGCGTCGTTTTTGATTCTAAGCAACGGGGACTTTCTTGAGATTAGCCATGTGGCAAGCAAGATTGGAGCGGGGCATGGAATGACCAGGATGATGCTGTTGGGTGCTGACCTGTTCAGAATCAACAGAGGCAACAGACGTCATTGCGGGCGGGCGTCGAACGGAGTCTAGGAGCGAAAACGCGTTCTTGATGTTTGGCAAGTTCTGTTTTTGGCCACCTTGCGGGACTGGGCGAAATCATGCGAGCGCTTTCGTTTGCTTTCATTTGCCTTCCACTTCAGGAGACGAGAGTGACAAAAGTCGGCAGCCCCAGGTCCTGAGTGGACACTAATTCATGTAAATGCAGCCCAGCTGTAAAATAGTGCAGGCATCATTCCTTCACTAGGAAATTGGCTTCATGCGGACATCCAGTTAGCCAAGTTGCAGCTGCAATTGTGCAAGCGATACAGTATAGGCACCCGTAAAAGTGTTCACCGGGGGACCCGCGTGCATGTCGGCACTTGTCAAGCTGAATCGTGCTTGCTCTGGTCGATTTTTACCAAGACTCCAAAAGCTTTGCTACCACTACCACAAGTTCGGATATAGTGTGAAGAAGTCGTTGTATAGGAGGCTGCTACCGTACTGATGACGCCTAGGTGCAATTCAAAGAGAACAGAGGGGAAGAGTCCTTACTTTGCTGACAACATTCGGAATTTGTTGTGTTTAACAAGAAGAAAATACTGTAAACAGCGTGTAGTAGCACAAGAGCAAAAAAATGAGCGGAAAGGCGAACGCTCCTTCTTGGCGGGTGTGGAGGACGAAGTGACACCCGGCTCGGGCACCCGGAGGCACCTGGAACTGAGAGGGACTTGGGCAAAAAACAGCGAGAGGATGCCTTTAGATACCCATGAGATCCCATGAGTCAATCAGAGAACACATGGATCAAATTAAGAAGCTACTAGGGGCTCGTGGCATCGCTACTAGGAGCAAGGACGCTACTAGGGGCTCCTGGCCTTACTACTAGTAACAAGGACGCTACTAGGAGCTAGAAGCTATGATTTTTCCCCATGGCCATCCATGGCCCTCTTTTCGGCAAATTCCAGTCGCTCGATGTCGACGTGTTTCGACCTTTTTTTTCGACTGGGAGTGTTGCAGAGTCGCTAGACATGTACCTGTTACAATGATACAAAGACAAATACCTGTTTGGGGCCATCAAGATTCGCGCTTGATACGAAGCTGATCAATAAATTCGCAATCAGTTTAGATTGAAGAACTTTCCGTTAGGAAACCTGCTGTTGCAACTGAGGTGCTGGAATAGTCATTGTACTGACAGGTAAAACATGTGTTTGACATGTCCAACGCCTGGAAACCAAGGCTGTGTTCCTTCAAATAGCTTCCTCTCGCAGTGATGATCATTGAAGCAATGATCATCTCAAACCCTCCCTACCAGAGTCGCAGAGCTTTCCATACTTGTGCCAATCAGAATGTCTCAGTTTGGATCCTGTGGAACCTCTGACTCTCGTTGCCCCGAAAAGCTTTGGCAGATGCACTTTGAGACACTTTAGGAGCTGAGAGCCACCGCTTCGGCTTCACCGGGCTTCGTCGACCTTCTAAGCGATTGTCAGGTTCCACCGATGTTCCGCCACCAGAACGCCACTAGGGGCTCCTGGCCTTACTACTAGGAGGAAGGACGCTACGAACGGAGCTTTTTCACATTGACTAGCCATCCCTTTGCTCCACTAAGTTCACGTGCGTGTGGTGCCGGAGCCACGTGGCTCGTCCAGAAGGGAAGCCCGATCCAAAGACCCGAAGTCGGAGTCGACTCCAAAAAGGCCCCACCAGGCGGCACTAAGCGCCCGACGAACCGAATGTTCAGTGACTTTCTTGTGACCTTCATCCGGCTCTTTGGAGCAGTTGATGGGCATCTTGGGCGAATGTGGACTAGGATGCATGAGTTCCCTGCACTCCCTGAAAAAGGATTTTGGATTCGGAACAAACAAGGTTGTCATTGTCTCCCTTCAAAGGTGCAAGATGTTGCTTGAACACTCATGGTCCTGGTCAATAATAAGCTCAGAGCAGGCTGTAGGATCCAGCTCTGCCTGCACACCCTGAATACGTTTTCCTTTTATGCATATATGGAAGCTGAAGGAACTTCTCAGACTCGGGTCCCAAGCCACAGCGGGTGTTGGCCACATCCCAACACTGAGCGGCTGCGGATGGTGGGCACAAAACCCTCAGCAATCTCCTGGGCTGCGGCTGCTCACCACTTCTTGGCTAAGATAGCATGTATTTACTTGTATATTCATAAGTTGTAAGAAACTTGTGAACAGATAGCTAAGTGCTTTGCCGCCCTCGTATCGTTTTTGTAAAGACTATATAGGCATAATATCTTGGTTGCATCGATGGGTAGTTATTCAATGTATTTTAATGTGGTTGTTGGTTCGTCAAGAAGTGCTTGGATGGGCAACAGCTCAGCCTCTCTCAAGGTGACAGCCCTGGTTCGCCTGCTTCCCCAGCTTCGCCTTCAACCAACCGCTCCTCGACGAGCTTGAGGCGATCGAAGGCAAGGTGTGGTCATACCTTTGATTTTTTTGCACTGTTGCAGCGGTATGGGGTAGGCACGGTGAGACCGCCACCGGATCCAAGGGTTTGGAGTAGCTGCGGGAAGCAACGAAGCCCTGTTGGTAGATGCAGCTTTCACTCCTCGGTGCGCTCGGCGGGACAAATGCAGTGACGAATTAAATCGGTCCCAATGACAGACGGGGATGCCAGTGATGAGAAAATCTCTTCAACTCGAGAATGCAATAGATCACTCTCTTGACTGGTCAGGCCCAGCTCTTCGAAGAAACGTTTGCGGCACCTTGGATGGGTGAGGTAAATCGATACCTGGAGAAGCCTGCAGACGCTGTTGGGAAGATGACAAACTCCCTGGTTGATGTCCTTTCAGGGCTATGGTGGAGATCACCTCTCTGGTGCTCATTGAAGCAGTTTTGATTACCTTTTTGGTTCAACAAACATCAGATGCCCAAACTCTGCCTTGCACCACATCCAATTCTCGGTGCTTGCGTTGAAGCGCAGAGATTGATCAGTGCTCACATTTCCTGAGGTGTAATATAAGTTCACCAAACATCTAGGAACCAAATGATTCGTGCGAGCGCTTCTTCAAGGAAGCTCGTGAGGGAGTTTCCTTGAAGAAGCGTGAGCTATCCTGCGTCCAGTAGCTAGGAGCACACATTGCAAGTTTGCCCTTAATTAAGTAGGTGTTTGTAGTCTCTACACAAAAGTTAAGAAGGTTGGAGGGTTGGAGGCCATCGCTGAGTAGGTTGGAGGCCATCGCTGAGTAGGTTGGAGGCCAGACGCCATCGATAATAGGTTGGAGGCCATTGCTAAAGCAAAGACTCCCCTCTAAGTCTGAGGGCTCAGTTACGCTCGCTGTTGGACCAAGGAGCTGATGCAAAAGCGCTTGGACAGTGCCAGAAGCCCTGCAGAGCGTCAGTACCAGGCTTGAGACGCGTAGGCGTAAACAGCGAACAGCGTGTGCAGCGCGAGTACCAGGTCAACTGCTCACCGAGATGGACTGGCAGCAAGATCGGACTGGTAACCTGGTCACTTGATGTCAAAAACTCGTCAATTGCTCAGTTGCTCTCTACCTACCGAGCTTGCTGCACTCAACGATTCATGTCCCCATTTTTGTTGCTTACTATGAGTAATCACAAATTTGCAAAGTAATTTATCATGTTGATTCATTTTGCTACATTTGTCATATGTCATGTTGGTTGTCATTTGGATCATAACGACTGTTACTGTTGTTTTGTCATTTGGTTCTCATGTGTATTTTCAGTTTACTTATATACATTGGTCATTTTGGTTTTCATTTGTTTGTTCAATTGTTTGTTCATGTGTCCTTTTGTTTCTCATTTTGCATCTTTCTGGATGATGTTTGGTTAACGTGAACAAGGTTTCATTCCGGCATTCATTTTGCTTCACATTTTGGTGTGTGTTTTGCGTTCGGTGCTCATGTGCTGTGTCGGCTTTAATTCCTGCAGTCTAGCCTATATATATATATATTATATAATTATGTATATATATATATATTGAGTCTAGTCCATATATGTTCATGTGTCGGTCAGTCAGTCACTCAGACAGTCAGGCAGTCAGTCAACAGGAATGTCACAGAACCAGCACTAATTGCACATGAAAAAGATGAAAAGATACACACACACATACATGAAAGAAGATGCAGGTGGACATGCTAAATGGATCTGGATGATGCTCTTGTCCACCCTCAGTCTGTGGCTCCAAGATTCTCTCAACACTAGTGGGCAACTCGAGAGACACTGTCTCGAATTGGCCGGTACTTGTTGAAGTTGCCACACACACAGTATGCAAAAAGCAGCGGGCACCTCTCAGAGACACGTAACACGCATCGGCATGCGGCATACGTGCTATCTTTCGCACCGGCGATGCGTTTCCACAAATCGACTCCCCTGGTCTTGCAACATTTGGGCGTGGACTGCCTATCAGGCTGACTTGATGGAGTCCGCCTACAAGGACCCTGACAGCAGTGACCGGATGTGCAAAATAGATCAAAATAGCGGGGTGTAGATGGCCATGCCAGATGCATTTTATTGCCCCGGATGGGCGTGGATGAGAGAGAATGGTTTGATCTGCTCCACATGACGTGAAATTTGCTGTGCAGAAACCACCGATTTGGGAACCCACCGTGGATTTCTTTGATTCCGAAGAAGACCACCCCTCATCCACACCTTCCAGGAAGTGAGGAAGACATTGAGCGAGTCGGACCGCCCACAGTCCGTGTGCGGCGCAGTCGTGCGGCACGTGGTGTTTGTTGGGACAAAGCGTCAAAGCGTCAGCGAAACTTGCGCACAGCATTCAAGGCCTTCTATTTGACCTTCAGCCATTGAATCGGAGCATTGTTCACACCATTTGGCATGAAAGTTAGTCGCAGTAGATGAACTTCAGAGGAGAGAGGGAGGGAGGGAGAGGGAGAGAAGGAGAGGGAGAGAAAGAGAGAGAGAGAGGGAGAGAGAGAGAGAGAGAGACAGAGAGAGAGAGAGAGAGAGAGAGAGAGACAGAGAGAGAGAGAGTTGCGGGTGGTCAGGACCCCTTCTTTTTTCAGGAAGAGTTTCCTGGCAGCATGAGTGTTCAGTGGCGAGTTCGGTGCAGGTACTCAGGGACCCCCGAGTTCACTGGCACCAGCTGGTTTCGTCATGACTAAAACAATTTCTGATTGGTGCGGAGAGTAGATTACCCTATGTTACCTTTACCAGGCAACAGAAGGGTTGGGTACTCACCACATCAAACGAATTTAAAGATATCAAAAGAGCATCAGTTGTTGCAGCTCAGTCTTTGGCCGATTCGATTCTTTTCTCGCCGCATCTCGCCGGGCCCTTCCTTGAATGAACACGTTCGTATCTTTCGTGGAGCAGATCCCCATCAAACCCAGCTGTTTGTAGTTGAGGGTTCCGGTATCCCACACACTTGTGTTTTGATGTGTGCAGCTTGTAGTGATGGATCTCACACTGCAAAAAATGGACGAAGAGCCCTTCTGGGCTCTTATATTCTTCAAGAACATTTGCATTCCGTTGTTGCTTCTCGGTCTTTCGACATGAGCACAAGGTCACCAAGGCCACCTTTTCAAGCGCAATCCAGTGCCATTGCACTCCACTTGCTGTGGCTCGGGATGCACATGTCATGGTACTGATGATGTCATGACAGCTTTGCAGCCACCCAAGGGTTGTTCAAGGTGCCTGTACACCAGATTCATCACCATTGCATCCCCATCATCGTCCCCGACTTGTAGATCACACCCGGGTGGGTTGGCCTTCAACCTTCAGCTTATTTAAAGTCGCACAAGCCTGAATGTGAGACATGATAGGATAATTGCCAAATAATTGCCTTGACATTCTCAGAAATGATTGAAAACTGATCTGCGAAGCTTGACCGCTGCAGGGATGTGGCGGTGGATGAGTTGCAACAGTTCCCTGAGATTCGGTGGCTTGGCTGTCCGCTTCTGTGGTTGGAGGATGTTGGGGGTGCAAAGCCAGGCGGGAGGATTTCTCAGAAGTTGCTTGAAGCGCAAAGAACGTGTTGAACGATGCTTTCCTCTAGGTATCTCTAACTAGTTATAGATTGATAGATACGATATGATAGGATACACAGAATGAGAGAACAACTTTCAACACACTTGGAGACCTCCTTCCACTGCCTGGTGGTCAAGTTTCACTCCACCTTTGCATGTCATGCGGACCACTCATGGTTCCAGACTGGGTTTGACAACCAAATGGATCCCCCAAACGTTTACTGCATATCTTGGAATCAACAGCCCGATCAAATCTGCTCTCACAAAGTCTCATAAGCTTCCACTCTGCAGCGCCCCTCTCAGGGGCCTTGCGCGCTCTCAATCTGCCAGCTCAGACAGTGCGCCTCTCAAGGGGGACAGAAAAGAAGCACCAGGAACAACGTAAAAATGAAAAATACCGTGAGTTGTGCATTCTCAAGAAAAGGTGCTGGACAGAGTGTTTGCAAGCGGCGGCTTTTCATTTCACAATAAATGACATCGCTAAAAAAGGCTGCTCAAGCTGGTAAGACACCTGGAAGGACGCCAGCTGTTTGGGAGGTTTCCCATGTCTCATGAGTCTCAAGACGTTTGTCTTGCCAAGCTAGTCTCCTAGTTTCAGTCATATTGGGTTTCATGGGCATCATTAGCTCGAGAAAGAGGGGGACATGCGACCTGAAGAGGTGGCAATGAACGAGCTCGCCCTGACTCGGAGGCACGATTGGGCGTTTCGCGGCCTGAAGAGTCTATTGCATGGAATTAGCGATGCACTTGTTCCTAGTAGCTTCTTTTTGAATGAAGTCACCCCAATCGGCCTCACTTGCCTGCCCGGATCAGTTGCTCGGAGTCGTTCGGATCAGTCGCTCTTTTTTTCGCAGGTCTTGACGTCCCGCATCTCCAGGCTGGGTCGTCCAGAGTGGGCGAATCACCACTCACCCGGCGGTCGTGTCCGCGACGTGAGAAGATGATCCAATCGAGGAAACCAATCACGAAATCACTGGCCCAAGGAGTGTCTTGGCGGCTTTGTGTCTTCGGACTTTGGGGTCCGATCGTCAGGACGATCTCTGGAAACTCCTTGGTGAAGTCCAGATCTTGGGCACAAGCAGGTGCGAACTTCGATCCGAGGGGTTCAGAGGCATGAGGCTTTCAGGGCCTCGTTTTGCAGATGCTTTCAGGGCCGGATGACCGCTTTTATTCGTGCTTTTTCTAAGGCATGCCCTATTTGTCTGTCCAACATCAGTGCTTGTGAACGAGATAGCCCCAAAACTCGATATTATTTTTGATGACACTATGAAGTAGTCTGAACAACATACTGTGATTTGCTACGAAAGTAGCCTGAACGAGATACTGTGACATGACATCGTACTTGAGTAGTCTAAGCATGTCTAATCGAGATAGGGCCCCGACGTAATAGATAGTGTCATAGTGTGTTTGAGTTTAGCACTGAATATATAAATGCCACCGCTCATGTGAGGATGACAACTCTCCATACTATTCGGGAAGCCGGAATGAGACCCTCGTGAAATTGTGCGCCGATTCATTGCAAGTGCATACCCTATGAATCCTATGAAGCGATAACCGGCAATAACATACCGTAAATTAGATGCTTTGCTCACGCAAACCGGAAGCAAGACCTCAGAACCAAGCGAGAAGCAGAGTAGCAGTGTCGATCTTTTTCCATCGCTACTAGGTTGGAGGCCATCGCTACTAGGTTGGAGGCCATCGCTCCTAGGGTGGAGGCCATCGCTCTTAGGTTGGAGGCGAACTGTGTAGACGTTGGACATGTGCTTTCCCAAACCATCCGCGATTGTCGTGACCTGCAACCATGCGCGATCCATGGGGTGGGCCAGTGCCAGGATCATTGGGACGAACACCCTCCTGGCAAATCCGTCGCTCGCCTGCCAGTTTGCTCCTTGCTGTTGGGTGGGTCCTCACTGATGGATGCATGACAATTCATTCCTCAAACCACTCACACGAAAACATGTGTTTTCGCTTCTTCCACGAGAACGGAGCGTTTTGAGGCGCCACCAACCGGTGTGTCGGGCCATTCACCCTATACAGACTCCAACCATATGTGTCTGAGAGCTTGCTGTCGGAACGAACTTGTACATTTCCACCAGGGAAAGCACTCCATCCACGGAATGGAGAGAGTTTATATAAAGAAACAAACTATTGAGATATGCAGGTCATGTATGAGATGTGATAAGCAGAATGGTATATATATATAGAATAATACCTCTTTTGGTAGGAAATCAGAGATTTGTTGGGACCCTTCATGTTGGTTTTGTATGCTTGTGTGAGTGTTACTCTCCCTGGAAAGGATGCAATGCATCGAGCAATTTCCTCCGTGGAGTTTGCTGGGGATAGTTGGGATAGTTTGCTGGAGATACACCAATGCACCTGCTAGGTGCGCACAGCCGTTTTCGCAGCTTGCGACTGCCCAGGGTGCCTTGCTGATAATCAGTGTGTGAAACGGGCCGAAACAGCCAAATCTGAACTGCTGGTGTGTTGTGCGGTCGAACATATGGAAGAAGGTCATTGGACTGATCGAACATGTGCCTTTGGTGACTGTTGGGGATGGGTTGTCCACCATTTAGCTGAAACAGCTGTTGAATCATGATCTCGGTGGGTTTCGTTCGCCGAACTGCATGGTTGCCCTGGGCGGCAACATGTTAGTTTGCCTGGTTTCTGTGCAGCGATGGACAAGAGGCCATCAATCTGTCAGAGTCTTTCATTACCTTTACTGGCTTACTTGCACCCCTAGCTCTGATATTTCAAACACAATTTTTTCATTTGTGGACAAAAACGAGTTTGCTGTAGTTTTTGTTGTCATACCGTGATTGACGGCATGTGGGAGGACTGGACCTCTGTCCGTCAGGCAGTCCGAGTGGAGGCGAAGCAAAAACCCACGCGGCAAACGGCGGTGCACCCCTTTGGCCGGCGCCGGCTGATGCCCTTGTTGCTCCCCTGGAAACCAGAGGACCGATTCTGGATCTGCTAGTTCTGTGAGAGATTAGAGTGCGCTCTACTTACCAGGGTTATCATGGCTATCATGGCTGAAGTTGGACGAGAGCTTGTAAGTTGCAGCGCTTTTTTGCGTGTTTGCCATAGGGAGACATATTTTTCTTGTTGAACTCACGATTAGGATGATTAGGGTTTCTCGCTCTCTTCAACGCTGCAAGTGTCGCACCTCTCCATCTAGAGAAACACACTAACCTTCCGTAGCATGAGTTTGGCAGGTAGGTCCTGGTAGCTTGGCCTCAGTGCTGTGTCGCTTAATTAGTGATCGAAGGCAACGACAGCCTTTGGCGAAGCACAGGGTCGTTGAACGGGAGATTGAGGAACTCTGTAAGCCTCTTGGTTTGAGGGAAAGGTATGCCCTGTGGATTGACACTAACTGGTCACACTCTCACATGCAAATGTGCTTGTATACTTCCAGCGCAGGATCCCACTCTTAAGTTCTACACTGCATTTGCACCAGCAATGCCGGTGTTGAGGACCCCCACACCCTCCACTTGGGAGAGTTGGGAGAGGTGAAGGGTCATGAGGCTGGTTGGGAGATATGGGACGAAGATGCAAAGAAGTTGTTCGTTTGTCCTGCCCGTTGTATCGATGCAATGCACAATAACCAGAATTTGATTTGCTGCATTCACCGCATTTACTTTCACTTTCGGAAAGGGGGCTTTGGACGGAGGCCGAACCAGGCTTTCTCCCGACTCCTGCCGCTCGTGTCAGCCCGTGGCACCGAAAGAAACCTACAAGGCACTGACCCCATGCATGAACACTGATCAACTGACCCCAAACTCTGTGACATGCCTTCAAACGACCGCTCTCCTCCGGGCATCCCATGCAAAACAGGAAACAACATGTTTAACCTACTAGCGATGTCCAACCTACTAGCGATGGCCTCCAACCTGCTAGCGATGGCCTCCAACCTGCTAGCGATGGCCTCCAACGCACTAGCGATGGCCTCCAACCTACTAGC